GCCCACTTCTTCGGATGCATATAGAATGGAACATATATTGAGGAGATATATATACACACATACAGAGAGCATAAACAGGTGGGAGTTGTCTTACCAACTCTGAACGGCTGCTACTCTGAAACCTTACTTTTGCATGTCTTTTCTGCAAGGTTGTATGACAAAGTGGACACTGTTACATTAGAGACCTGGCTTCTATTCCCAGCTCTGACTGTGCAGCCTCTGTTACCTATGAAATAATAGTTCTCTCCCTCTCCAACTTTGGCCTTTAATAAGTATTGTGAATGGCACAGAAATGCTAACAGCTGCTAGTAAGAGTGCTGGGGCTAAATCTTATGGATGCTGTCAGCTGAGCTTGCAGTGTAATACAGCTTCCCCTAGACAGCTAGACATCGTTAGGGTTGCTGTTTGAGTTTTCTTCCCTCAGATTGCATGACGGCTGCAGCTTTTCACATCATCACAAGATGGCCTGTAGCAGGGGCCAAAATTATGATAAATTTGTGACAGTTGGCAACTTTACAAGGCAGCAACCCCTCCTCTGTTCTGCTCACCCCCTTAGCAGTGATAGTTCTGACCACTGCTTTTCTTCTTTCCTTGCCCTGGCTCGGGCATATTCCCATCCCTGGGTCTGGCAGCAAGGCTGTAGCAAGTGGGTCTGTCTTTAGGTTCTGGTTTCAGTGACTCCAAGGGCTTTTAGCTCTTCAGATACTGAGCAGTCTCAAGGCGGCTGATTCCTGGGAGCCTGACAGTTTTTAATAGTTCAGGTTTCAGAGTAACAGCCGTGTTAGTCTGTATCCGCAAAAAGAAGAACAGGAGTACTTGTGGCACCTTAGAGACTAACAAATTTATTAGAGCATAAGCTTTCGTGGACTACAGCCCACTTCTTCGGATGCATATAGAATGGAACATATATTGAGGAGATATATATACACACATACAGAGAGCATAAACAGGTGGGAGTTGTCTTACCAACTCTGAGAGGCCAATTAATTAAGAGGGGAAAAAAAAAAAACTTTTGAAGTGATAATCAAGCTAGCCTAGTACAGACAAATTGTAAATGACTGTTTAACTTACATGTTGTTTTTCTGCTTAGTTTGTAATGGCAAT